GTATTCACTATTTACTTATTATTTTACTGGAGAAACTGTCAATGGCCAATGCTCAGAAGTCACCAACAGAGAGAACAGTAAGTTTATAATAATGACCATTAAACCAATGTACCCTCATAATCTCTCTTTCTCTTCCATAGCCTCCCATTACTACTGAATGCCATGAAGAAATAGGACATAATGGAAAAGAAGAGTTAGTAACCAGTCAGATATATACAGGAACTAGAAGGAGGCAGCAGCAGCAGCAATACTTAGAAGATATCAAAGAAAAAACTGTTCAAAAGCTCTTGCCTCAAGTGACTGGCACCCCAACAGCTAGTACAGGGACAACAGCTAGTGGAGGGACAACAGCAGCTGCTACAGGGAAGAGTGCTGAGACTGAAAATGAAGTTATGAAAAGATTGTTTGATCTGCCATCATTCAAGCAGATACCGAAAGAAATCAGAGAGAGAATGATGGAGGAAATAAGAGGACAAAAGGGAAGTGATGATGATGATGCAAGCTCAGGGTATCAATCACTGATAAGCTCTTTAAAGTCTTTATGATGATCATCCACTCTCTCTCTCCAGACTTTCTCAACACCTCTCTCTTTCCTCTCTTCTCCTTCAACTCTTCCTATTATAACTTGTTAGGCAGTTTATAGTAACTGAATGTACTATAAGTCTGCCCATATGCTTATACTGCAAACCTATTCTCTTCTTCACTTACAATGTATTACTGTATAATTTGTGAATCAATACCATTAGTATTATAATTATATTATTATATGTATATTCTATTTTTCTTCGTTATATTTCTGCATAATACAAACAATATCAAGCATGCAATAATGAGCAGCTGCCAGTATTATTATACTAAAATAATAAACAAATTATTGTTTTAGGGTTGCTATTTGTAAACACATCCTTCACACCTTAACCCTTTCAAATGAAATTAGCATACAGTGAATAACCCCATGACAGGAATTACTGTTAAGGATAGGAAAAGGATAAGTATCTCCACCTTGTGTTTAGTCTGTCTATTATGCTAAATACTAATACTAATAATAATAATAATAATAATAATACTAAGAGAACATAAAGGGTTTGTATGTTCATGTTTATTTACTCTTATAAACAATCAGTCTATCCTAACTAAACCATTTAAGCTGCACACTAGCTGGAACAGATACACTTAAAAACACAAGACTAACCAGTCACTATAAGCATTTGACCTATGACCATATTTAGTCTCAAAAATGTGTTTACTAGTATCACTAATCTACTAAGTATAAATAATAATGACAAAAGACGCGATGGATCCGTTGTTATTGATAGAGCCATTGCTATTCCAAGACAGAGAGGTGGCGGTGGTGGGTGGCTGATGCCAAAAGAAATTAGCTACAACGCCCTCTAGATATTATCATGTGTACATGTACATGATGCAAATGTACATGTAAGTGTGTGTGTGTGTACATAATCACATCCTTTATTATAAATAAGGTATTTGTTATGGTAATACCAATTATAGTGTACCTGTTGACATTTGCTGTTCCAGACACTGAGACTAAATAGGTGAGACTATGTGAGGTATTGCAAGAAGCAGAATAATGGGATTAACGAGTAGAATGGGGTAGGAGTGGGTATATTAGTGAAAAACAATAACACCAATAATATTTATCTACCAATAAACAATTATGAGTGTAAACACAGTAATTAAGAATCTATACATTCTGACTACATGTACATGTACATATACATGTACATTTATCAGGAATCCATAATGCTGAACATGTATCACATTACAGAACCTCATTCACATAGTGTTCCCACTCAACTCTCCATATAACCATATAAGGTCGTATTATAGAGGCACAATACTTAATATAGTATGTATAAGAAAGTGACATATATGGTAATGTACATGTACATGTACATACATTCAGTAGTGTCTCAATAAAATGTTCTATAGTACGTGATACATGATAATGTATTATCATTCAAGCATTACTTAGTGTGTGCCAAATTTAGTGTACTTAGCATATAGTGTTATATAATTCAATGTAATGTACTGAAGTACATCCAAATTAGTGTGTTTACAAATACTATAAGATAGTGATGTATATACACATGCTTTACACACTGAGGGTATA